AAAGAAAAGGAGGAGGAGAAAGAAGAGGAGGAGGAGAAAGAAAAGGAGGAGGAGAAAGAAAAGGAGGAGAAGGAGAAGGAGAAGAAGAAGGAGGAGAAGGAGAAGGAGAAGAAGAAGAAGGAGGAGAAGGAGAAGAAGAAGAAGAAGAAGGAGGAGGAGAGAAAGAGAGACAGAGAAGAGAGAGAGACTGAGACTGCGATGCAGAGGAATCTGGGTGACCCAGTACATGAATCCGCACAAAGTTACTGGGTAGCTACGGCAAGTGACTAGGAAGGCTAATGGAGTATTATCCTTCATCAAGAGGTGGGGTGAGGGGAAAGAGGTCATTAAAGAGTAGGGACATCTTGTCACATATTCACAGGAACTTAGGACACATCGGAAGTGCTGGGGACAACTGTGGTCTCCTTATGTGAGAAAGGATGGGAGGGCACCAGGAGCAGTTCGGATAAAGCTCATCGACGTGATGGGAAAGGATTGTTTTCACCGCTCCAACGAGACAACTTAGCGAACCCCTCCTCCACCCCCCAACCTTACACTGGAAGGGTGCTGAGCGGCCGCCTTCCGTTGTGCTCCATCGACCATCCCACTGCTCCACCCCGCCCCAAACCACCCGACAACACAAAGGGGGAGGTGGATGGAGCTCAGATCACACGAATAAAAATAACCGAGACGCGAACCGCAGGAGGGTTAAATTCGGACTATTCCTGGGCCCTTGGATGGGGAAACCTAGTGAAGGGGGGGGGGGGAAATGGGCATCAATATTTGCCCCCAAATTGGCACAGCTTACTTGGGTTTGATGGCCGCCATCCTGCTTGCCCACACTGAGGTGCTCGCCGGCTTCTTCACCTCCCCCCGGCCCTCCTCAGACGTCCTGCGGAGCTCCTTCCCCTCAAGGGCTTTGGGAGCCTCTGCTTTCTTGGGGAAGAGGGACATCAGGCCCCCTCTGCTGGCCTCCTCCTTCTTAGCCTGGGGCCTGGGCTCCTCCGGTGTCGCCTCCCCGCTGCCCGCCTGCTCCTCTTCTTCGTTGGCCTCGAAAGGGTTCAGCGACCGCACGCGCTCTTCGGGAGCGGGGCCTGCCCTCCCGACCCCGGGGTCCGGGCTCCCCCCGCCTCTCTCGACCGAGGCAGGGGCCGGGGCGTCGGCCGTGCCCCGGGGAGGAGTCTCCGGCCTCGGGTCCTCTTCGGGGGACGGGGTGTAGAAGCGGCTCCTCGGCTCGGGCCTAGGCTTGGATGGCACAGCCTGGCCTGGCTCCTCTGTGTAGACATGGGAGCCGTTGATGCAGAGGTTGGACTGGGACACCGGGTCGCTCTTGGGCCTCAGGCCCCCCAAGAGTGACAGAGGCTCCTTCCTTGGGTTCCCGGGCAACGCCAGGTCCAGCTGATTGTTGTCGGCGCTGGCCGCCCGCTTGTGGCTCAGAATCTTGGGGACCTGCAGGCCCTTGCCTGAACTCTCCTCTGCAGAACAATAATGTTCAACAACAACAGAAAGAAGAAAACAAAAAAGGACAAGAATTAACCCCTCGTCAGTAACAGAACCCGACCAAAAGGCTGTGGGAGGTGGTGACGTTCTGCTCAACTCAGTGGAGGGTAATGTTGTCAAACTCCCACTCTCTCATTGGAGAGAACTGGCGGTGGTTCAACCCAAGGCCCACTACGTCTTAGAGGAGGAGAGTCCTTCGTGACCACCTCAGCCACCGATGGGAATTGAACCCAACACCCGCGGTGGGATTTGAACCGGCGTTCCCAGGGCTCCGGATCACCCAAGCCCCCCTTGGCACTGCCACGTCTCACCCAGGAGCACGTTTGGCCCCGTGCGCCGACAGGCCACAGGCTTGCCACGAGGAAGGAGGGCGCCTCGTGGTAACGACGACCCAGAAAGGCGCATGGACACCCCACCGCGAAGAACGGAAAATCCGCTCCGGATCCCCGAAAACCTTCCCCCGCTAGACCACCGCTTCCCCCCACCCCCTAGACACTGATGCTTTACAGAGACCCAACCCATTTAGTCCCACTCCTGTACTTTACCACTCCCCGTGCGAAAGGCTCCATGGAAATGGGTCACAGCTCACCTGGGTTTACCTGCAATCCAAGGCCATTTTTGCTCACTTTCAGATCCCCCCCACCCCCCCCGAATTTATTTCCGAGTCAGGACGGCGAGCGGCTAACAGGGGAACTTGCGGGGGAGGGCGGGGTGTTCCCATGCATCTGCTGCCCTTTGTCCTTTCCAAATGGTACGGGCTCGGAAGGGCATAATTTTGAAGCGAAAGGCAGGGGCGCTCTGATGGGATTTGAGGGAATGCAGTCAGAAGGTGGTGGGAATCTGGCAGGGTAGTTGACTCTCGACTTTTAAGAAGCCACTTGGATGAGCACTTGGAGTGCTGTAACGTTCAAGGCTTTCAGCCTACTGCAGCAAAGTGGGACTAGCGTAGGTCATAAGTGTATTTTTGGGGCAGTACAGACCGGATGGGCTGAAGGGCCTCTTCTGTACGATGTGATTCGCAACCTTTCAAGTCAGTAGGTCTGGACAGCTAAACGTATTGACCAACACTCCCAAGTCGTAGAGAGTCAGGATCTTAAGAGTCGTGTCATTTGCAGTACTGGAGGAAGCTCATCGCTTTATCGTAGAAGTACATGATGGGTAACGGAATATGTTAAGATCCGGAGGGAGAAATATCATCCATCTGTCTGAACTAATGTCTCCAACTACCTCCAGTCTGACCTCCCGCCACCTTCCCACAGTCATCGAGTCATACAGCACTGAAACAGGCCCTTTGGGGAGTCAGTACAGACTTGCTGGACCGAATGACCCATTTCCACTCCATGGGGACACAACGATGCTACCCGAAGGTTGCAGGAACAGCAACTCATATTCCACTTGGGAACCCTGCAGCCCAATGTGGACTTCACAAGCTTCAAAATCTCCCCACCCCCTACCGCATCCCAAAACCAGCCCAGCTCACCCCCACCTCCTTGACCCGTCCGTCTTTTCTCCCACCTGCCCGCTCCTCCCACCTCACCGACCAACCTCCACCCCCACCTCCTACCTACCAGCCTCATCCCCGCCTTCTTGACCTGTCTGTCTTCCCTTGACTGACCAACCCCCATCCCAACTCCCGTCCTACACTCACCTTTACTGGCTCCATCCCCGCCTCCTTGACCTGTCCATCTCCTCTCCACCTATCTGCTCCTCTATCCACCTTCCATCATCGCCTCCCCGCCTCTCTCTCTATTTATTTCAGAGTCCCCTTCCCCTCCCCTATTTCTGAAGAAGGGTCCAGACCCGAAACTTCAGCTTTCCTGCTCCTCTGATGCTGCTGGCCTGCTGTGTTCATCCAGCTCCACATCTTGTTATCTCAGACTCCAGCATCGGCAGTTCCTACTAACTCTCACCAATATCCTGCACAGCCACATGATATCCAAGCTTCTATACTTTATGACCTGGCCGACGAAGGCAAGTGTGCCAAATGTCACCTTCACCGCTCTGTCTGCCTGCAACTCCAATAAGGAGCTACGTATGTGCACCCCAACATGCTCCCCAGGTCCTTACCATTAAGTGTGCAAGTCCTGCCCTGGTTTAAATGCAACACCTCACCTCATTTATCTGAATTAAACTCCACCTGCCATACCACGGCCCACTTGGCCCTGAGTTAACATTCTGTCGACCTCTGGTCATCTGAATCCCTGCTGCCTGCTACCCCCCACCCCCTTCACCAAACTCATACCCAGCTCTGCCCACCCACTGTGCCCTGCCAACGCTTGACAACAGAAAGGGGACAAGATTTCTAAAAAATAAGGTTTTAAAAAAAAACAAAGAAACCCCATCCAGCACACTGCACCCTCACTCCTTCCCCACCCCGCCTCCAGTAACCACCCGACATCTCCGGCCAAGCAGGAAATTATTTTCCACTTTAAAAGCGAAACGAGAAAAGGCGCCACGCCAACGCACCTCCCGCCGAGTCGTCCAGGCGTATCTCCGTGAAACCCCCAGCCTTGGCGTTCCCGTGCGGAGAGGACGGGGCGGTGGGAATGACGGACATGGACTGGGAGAGAGAGGTGCGCTGCAGGGTCGACTTGGGCAGGAGCTTCCTTAGCCTGGAGGTGGTGGCCGCCCTGGCAGTCGCTTCGTCCTCCTCATCGCTGTCGCCCACGGCACCGAGGCTGGGCACAATGGCGGACGCAGAGTCCGAGAAGCCGTCCCTTTTCTTGCCCTTGAGCCTGTCCTTCAGTTTCCCCAGGGCGGAGCGGGACTTGTCCTTGGCCGACAGGTCGAACATGCTAGCCGTCATGTTGTTGCGCACAAACTGGATGTCCGCCTCGATCTCGCCCCTCTCCTTGTCTGCCTTCCCAGCTTTGGAGTGGAGTCTGTACCATCTGAACAGGGGAGGGCACACAGAGAGAAACCCATCAGAACGAACCAGCCCCCAGAAACGAAAACAAAATCTCCCACGGTTATGGGATCACATGGCGCAGAGACAGACCCTTCGGCCCAAATATCCCGTGCTGACCAGCTTTCCGAAAGTGAACTAGTCCCATTTGTCTCCGCTTGGCCCACATCCCTCTAAACCCTTCCCATCCTCATACCTGTGCAAACGTTTCATTTAGATAGAACTCTGACAGCTGTTTGGGGGAAGAAACAAACCAGGAGGATGCAGATACAGATACAGTCAGAACACATGAAAGGTATTTGGACAGGTACATGAATTAGGAAAGGTTTAGAGGGTTTATGGGCCAAAAACTAGCAAATGGGACTAGTTTAGCTGGGGAAACCTGGTCGGCATGGACAAGCTGGGCCAAAGGGTTTGTTTCCCTGCTGTACGACTCTATGACTAAGAGCCACAATGACGCCACACGTAAACTGGAGGAGCTACATCTCATATTCCACCTCAGGAGCCTACAGCCCAAAGGCTTCAACATAGAATTCATCAGTTGTAAAATCTCCCCACCCCCAGGCCTCATCCCATGTCCAACCCTCCCTCTCATACCCTCCTCCTTGACCTGACACAACCTGTCCATCTTCTCTCCCACCTACCCGCCCCACCCTTCCCACTGACCAATTCCCCACCGCTGCCTACCTGCACTCACCTATCATCATCCCACCTACCTTCCCCAGCCCCAGCCCTCCTCCTCTCTATTTATTTCAGAACTCCCTTCCCCCTCCCCCATTTCTGAAGAGTCCCAAACCGAAAAGTCAGCTTTCCTGCTCCTCTGATACTGCCTGGCCTGCTGTGTTCCTGCAGCTCCACACTGTTATCTCAGACTCCAGCATCTACAGTTCTTGCTGTCTCCACAATGGGCAGATTGCCGCATGAGGAAAACCTAGACAATATTCTTGGGAATTCAGAAAAATCAGAGGTGACTTAACAAACAAGATCCTGAGGTTGGTCTGGAAAGGATGCGCCTTCTTGGAGGATAGAGCTGTACAGCACCAGAACATGCCCTTCGGCCCACCATGTCTGTGCCAACCATAATGCCATTCTCAACTAATCCCATCTGCCTGCACCTCATCCATATCTCTCTATTCCCTGCCTGTCCATGTGTCTGTCTAGTTGCCTCTTGAATGTTACTATTGTACCTGCTTCTACCGCCACCCCCTGGCAGCATGTTTCAGGCACCTATCACCCTCTGTGTAAAAAAAAACTTGCTGCAGACATCTCCTGTAAACTTTTCCCCTCTCACCTGAAACCTTTGCCCCCTAGTATTTGACATTTCTACTCTGGGAAAGAGATTCTGACTACCCGTGCCCCTCATAATTCGACAGATTTATCAAGTCTCCCCTCGGCCTCCGATGCTCTAGCGAAAACAATCCAAGTTTGGCCAACTTCTCCTTGTAGCTAATACGCCCCAATCCCGGCAACATCCTGGTAAACCTCTTCTGCACCCTCTCCAAAACTCCCACATCCTTCCTATAGTGTGGCGACCAGAACTGCAAACAATGCTCCAAATGTGGCCTGACCAAAGTCTCACACAGATGCAACATGACTTGGCAACTTTTCTACTCAAAGCCCCGACCGATGGAGGCAAACTTGCCATGCGCCTTCTTTCCCACCTTATCCACTCGTGTTGCCACTTACGGGGGCGGGGGAAGCGGTTAGGGATGTCCGCCCCACCATCCCTCTGTATATCAGCACTCCTAAGGGTCCTGCCATTTGCAGTATAGTTTCCTCTTGAACTTGACCTCCTGTAGAATTGGGGGTCACTTTAAAAATAATGGGGTGCCCATTTATTACAGAAATGAGGAAACATTTATTTTCTCTCAGATGGTTGAGTTTTTGGAACTCCTGTCCTCAAACACTAATATTGAGGCAGAATCTGTACGTATTTAAGGGGATGAAAGATTATCTTTGAAGGAAGGTAGAGTGGAGGTTAAAACTCAGCAATCTTATTGAATGGGACAGCAGGCTCAAAGAGCCATTCGGCCTACCCTAACGGCCTGTCCCAGTGCAGCGAATCCTCGGCACTGCTCCGCCAGGATTCAAACCAGGAACCTCAGGATTCAGGGCTCGAGTGCTACCCAATGAACGACAGAGAGCGAGCGTGCATGCGAGAGAGAGAGAGAGAGAAAACGCATGCCACGTTATGGACTAATTGAGTAGGTTTATAGAGGAATCAAGCCTTGAGGCACATGCCTCTACAATCCTTTGTAGAAAGCAGGTTTTCGGTGTACACCTAAAAGCTACACACACAGACCAGGTGTTGAACTTCAATAGTAACCATCCCAGCACACACAAATGAAGCTGCGTGCGAACACTATTTAAAAGGGCAACAACACACTGCAGCACCATGGAACTACGCCAAGAGGAGGAGGCATACCTCTTCCAAGTGTTCAAGGATAATGGATATCCAAAGAACTGGGTCAGGAGATGCCTACAGGAACAGCATCAGAAAGATTTTACACGCCCCGACACACTCATCACACTACCCTACATCAGGAACACATCAGAACTCACCACAAGACTTTTACGACGGCTGGGCATCAGAGTGGCACACAAGCCCACATCAACCCTACGACAAGTGCTCACCCGAACTAAAGACCCACTCCCCACCATGGACAGGACCAATGTCATCTACAAGATCCCCTGCAGAGACTGCGAGAAACACGACATCGGACAAACAGGAAGGAAACTAACAACAAGAGTACATGAACACCAACTGGCTACAAAAAGACACGACCAATACTCACTCATCTCAATCCACATGGACAAGGAGAACCACGACTTTGACTGGGACAACACCAAGATCCTGGGACAGGCTAGGCAGAGACAAGCACGAGAATTCCTAGACACTCCATGAAGCATGCTATTAATAAACACAATGAACTCGATCCCATATACATTCCACTACGGAGGAAACCGGGAAGTGAGGCAATCCATCTCAACGGACCCCAGAGTTTAAAAACCAGGCGGAAAAACACACCGATGCTTCAGAGGCTGCACTGAGGATGTTACCAAGCACAGTAACAAAACACCTGCGGAACAACAAACCAGCTCAGCAAGCCAACCAACCTCAACACACACAACCCGAGCTACAAATCTACTCCAAAACCTTAGGAATCTCAGGCTCCGACACTGTGATGGGAAAGGAGTTCCTCCGACGCTGTTTGCTCCCTCTCTTGGTTGAAAAGATACAGCAGAGTTCACCACACCTCATTCTTTTCTATTCCACGGCAGAATTCAGCTTTTTCTAGTAACCAGTCCAGTGAACCTTCGTTACACTGTCTCTCCAGGACAAGACTTTTTCTTTAAATTCATCCAGGGGATGTGGGTATCACTGGTAAAAGTGACGTTTACTGCCCGTCCCTATTTGCCCAGACGGCTGTTGAGAGTCAACCACATTGCTGTGGGTCTGGAGTCACATGTAAACCCAACCAGGTAAGGATGGCAACTTCGGTCCCTGAAGGACATTTGTGAATCAGATGAGTCTGTCCAACAAATCTGCATAGCCATCTCAAATTCAAATTTTCACCATTTGCTGCGGCAGGATTCAAACCCAGGTCCCCAGAACATTACCTGGGTCTCTGCGTTAGCGGTCTGGTGATCACAGCACTAGGCCTTCACCTCCCCTAATTTCCTTCTTTGGATCAAGAGGCCGACACCCCTCAGCAATGGTGATCAAAGCTGACAAACCGTACAATATCCAACCTGATATTCGTTATTAACACCCTTTACCTAGTGAGTGGCTTAAACATGGAACTCACTATCACAGAGCAATTGCATAAAGGCACTTCGTTTTTAAAAACAAAATTGGCAAAGGGGACGAAGAATTAGGAGGATACAAAAATTGCTGGAGAAGTGGGGAGCATGTTGCTGAAGTTTGTTACTCTCCACCACTCAGGACAAACACCAGGGGGAGCTGATGGCCCAGTGATATTATCGCTAGACTGTTAATCCAGAGACTCAGGTAATGCTCTCGGGACACAGGTTCGAATCCTGCCAGGGTAGGTGATGGAATCCGAATTCAATAAAAATCTGGAATCAAGAGTCTAAATGATGACAATGAATCCATTGCCGATTGTTGGAAAAACCCATCTGATCCACTTCCCCTTTAGGGAAGGAAACTGCCATCCTTACCTGGCCTGGCCTACATGTGACTCCAGACCCACAGCAATGTGGTTGACTCTTAAATTGGGTAATAAATGCTGTCCCAGCCACTGAGCCCACATCCTGTGGATAAACTTTAAAAAAAAAACACAAGAAACTATGAGGTTGTACAGGATATTGGCAAGGCCTCTTCTGGAGCACTGTGTCCAGTTCTGGTCCCCCACTTACACAAAGGATATTATTAAACTGGAGAGGGTTCAGAAGAGATTTACCAGGAAGTTGCTGGGAATGGAGGGTTTGAGATATAGGGAGAGGCTGGATAGACTGGGATTTTTTTCACTGGAGCATAGGAGGTTGAGGAATGGACCTTATAGAGGTTTATAAAATCATGAGGGGCATAGATAGGGTTAACGGTAGGTGTCTTTTCCCAAGGGTGGGGGATTTTAAGACTAGGCATATTTTTAAGGTGAGAGGAGAAAGATTTAAAAAGGACACGAGGAAGAACTTTTTTTTTTAAACACAGTGGTTTTTGTGTGGAATGAACTTCCAGAGGAAGTGGTGGATGTGGGGACAGTTACAACGTTTAAAAGACATTTGGAGAAGTACACGAATAGGAAAGGTTTGGGGGGTTGGGGGGGGGGGGGTGGGGGGGGGGAAGGGGCAGCGGGGGGGGGGGGGGGGGGGGGGGGGGGGGGGGAGGGCGGGGGGAGATATGGGCCAGGAGCAGGCAGGTGGGACTAGTTTAGTTGGGATTATGGTCAGCGTGGACTGGTTGGGCCGAAGGGCCCGTTTCTGTGCTGTATGTCTCTATGACTCCAATTCCAAATGCACAAC